AGGAAGGGAAGGAGAGAGAGAGAGAGAGACAGAGAGACAGAGAGACAGAGAGAGAGAACACGAGAGCCAACAGTGTCCAGGAGAATGTTCCCCAAGGAACTCATTTCTTTTCTTCTTCCAAGATCCCCAGAGGGGGTTGGCTGGCTCTTTCCGGTCTATCTGGTACTTTCTGGTCCTTGGCCACATCCAGTCACACCTGGCCTTCCTTCCTGGAGCCTGAGCCCTCTTCTTATCCCATGGGTCCCCTCCCCCAAGCCGAGTTTCTCTACTGGTTATCACCAGTCCACTTGAGTAATATAAAGTCGCATTCATATTTTTGGCATTTCCAGGGCTTGTTGCCATCTCTGAAAATGCTAGCACAAACACGAGCATACCTCAGACCCAGGTATGTCACAGCGACTCCCGTCTGGGTTCATTTCTAACTCTCAAATAATCTGGAAGGAGGGGCTCTGCCGGAACGGTAAATAGATCTGGAACTGAGGTACGATGGGGAGGGGGAGGGTTCCAAGAACAGTGGCCACCCAAGGAGACTCCCAAGGGTGTTTTTCAACAAGAAAGGTAAGGCCACCAACAATCCAGTCCTCAGCCAGTTCCTCTGTCAAAGGTCTGGAACTGGTGAGTTATGGAGGCTTTCAGCAGAGCTGCCACCAAGTGTGGACTTCATTTTGTACTGCTGGGAGAGGGGTGACAAGACCCCGAGACAGGGACAAATCCTAGCTGTGCCTTCGTTTTCACTTTTTGAGATTTGCTGGTTTCTGCTGAAAACCACATTGTTTTAAAAGAATTAAAGGGGAAAGCTATACATGAGATCCACATAATATTAAGGGTGACATCCTCCGCACAGAAACACGACAGACTGTCATAGCTCCAGGCACCTGATTGAATTTCCTTTGGGAGTTAAACCTTAGAAGCTTGGACTGAACAAACGGGCCCTGTTCTTTGTATATTTCAGAGCTGGGGCTGAGAATGTTAACAGATCTTATCAGCAGGATACTGGACATAGACAGCCATGATGGAGCAGCTCCTGGGAGCCCTCACTGGGAACAGACTCGCCGTTGTGATGCCACTGTGGGAAAAGCTTGTGCAGGTCTAGGGCTTGGAGCTCCTGAAGCTCACTGTCTGCTTAGAGAAGCCAGCCTGTCACAATAATAGGACCGTCAAGGATCGTAGCAGTAGGTACCTGCCTTGTATGCCTGAGCTAAGTGCTAACCTGCATCTCTTCCTTGGGTCCTGCTATGGGCTTGCGAGGGAGGCGACTCTAGTTCTCAATGCATGGATGACTGGGTACAGAGAAGGAAAAGACAGTCTTCCTGACTTCAGAACAGTGTCTACCTGGTGGTGACAGACCATGCTCTTTTCCTATTTGGGGAAGGTGTGCCAACTCTAAAGGTGTGTATACTCAGGGCTCACCTCTTTCTGAGGGGAAGGTAACAGCAGTGTTTACAATGACCTGAAAGAAAAGCACCCTCAACCCAGTCAGCAGTATATTTTCTCATCTCAACAGGGCTGGAACCTGAGTATCACAAACACACAGCTGCTAACAATAAACAAACAGAAGAGCATGCTGGCTAACTGGAAGGAAGGCTTGCTATGTACCCTCAAGCCATCTTGATGGCTAGGGCCCATACTTTGTTTGAGAGTCTCTCTTTCTTTAAGAAGTTCTGGCTGTCCTAGAACTTCTGTAAGCCAGGTTGGTCTCAAATTCACAGAGATCCTCCTACTTCCGCCTCCCAAACACTGGGATTAAAGGCCTATATGAGCACACCTCACTCTGAGTCCATACATTTTAAGAGTTCCTCTAGTCTAGAAAGATGGGCAGCAATAATGACAGGCCATCACAAGGATCACTGCATTCTATTTTGTTTGCACAAAGAACCCCGACAAAGCACTGAGGTTTATGACCAAATAGCCCTTGGAGGGAGGAGACCCTCTAAGGAGAGAGAAAGGGCCCCTGGACCAATCTGAGTAACATGTTCCCCTGGAGGGCTCTGGAGAACACAAATGCTGGGCTCTACACAGTCTACCCAAGGCAATGCTATTTCACAATGCACCCCAAGAGATCATAGCGGGAGGAAGTGCTAGGAAGAGCCCCAGAGGAGGAGGACTGTGAATAGTCTATACCAGCAGCTACTGGCTGCAGCTCTGCCACTGTTTGACTGTGAGGGCACAGTCAGCTGGAGATAGGTTTTGGAGCCGAGGCACAGAGCTCACTCCAGTGGGCTCATAGTACAGGACCTGTGCGGTGCAGTCAAACAACCTGGCTCATTGGTGGTGAGAAAGAATTGTCAACAACCTCTCAGTTCTCCAGGTTCCAGCAAGTTCCAGAAAGCAACCTGAAAAGTGATCTTCTGTTGGTGCCTGCCCCGGGCAGGCCCGGCTGCCCTGCAGGCAGAGGCTGGACTGCTACAAACCTGACACTCATTCCAAGGTCTGCGGTCAACGGATTTCTAAGTGGCTGACAGTGCCATTCCTTCCCTCCGTATGATGACAATCCACACTTTGTCTTGGGCCTTGTTTGCTCCTTGTGTTGACACGTTGTTCTGCTTCCCAGCAAGCTTGGCTTTCTTTCCCTCCCTTTCCTCTTCTCCAGGAAGGAAATGTGCTCTTTATAGAGGCAAGGCCTGCCAAGGAGCAACTCTGGCACCCACGATGGCAGCGAGGGAGAGACTAGCAAGGGCTCCTGTCAGCTGTTCCCCTTCCCCACACTCAGGCAGACACTCCCATGCTGGGAGGGGCAGAGGCCTGTGCTTGTGAGCAGTGGGGACTCACTCATTTCCTGCTTGGGGTGGGTGGGGAGAAGCTGGCTTTGGTGGCCAGAAGCAGGCTCAAACTTCTGCTCTGTCTACACAGCAGGGAATTACAGTTTGCTCTAAAACTTAATAGGCACTGGACTCAACAATGAGGTCTTGAAACAGCCCAAGGCAAGATCTCTAAAGGAAACCAGGTATAGCTACCAGGCCCTCCAGAAGGAGAAATGGCAGGCCAAAAAGGGAGTGCCAGGGGCTAGGCTGGGCACTCCCAGGTTGGCTTCTACACAGCATCCAAAGGTGTGCACAGGGACCGAAGAACACAGGGCCTTGGCTGAAGGGATCTGCTCCTGGGCTGAGATAGAGTTCAGCAGAGGTTTCCCACTGGGAACAGCTGTGAGGTGTCTTCTCCCAAGCCAGGACCTCCCATTGGGCTGCTTGGGAGTGGCTGGGACTAAGGGCGCCACCTGGGTGAGCTATCAGACACCACACAGCTGAGAAAGCATTGCAAGGCCTAAAAAAAATAATCTCAAGTTTGGTCATATGACCTCTCTGTGACCTCTGGGACTGAAGTGTCTCTCCTTCAGATTGCTCTGGCTAAGAACTGATGTCGGAACTGACTCAGCTCTGGGCGGGGCTCTGCTCAGAAGACTGACAACTCAGAGTCAACAGGCCACAACCCCCAGTGAAGGGGTGCCAGGGGTAGGAAAGGACACTGGCCTGTTCCAGGGTCTGGAGACCTTCTACCAAAGCTCTGAACTTGGTTTGCAGACTATAATCTCAAGGGTGACACAAAGCAGGATGGATGAAGTCATGCCTCTACTCTGGGAAGAGTATGGGCCTGAGGTGCTTCCTGCCTCGGCAGCATTCCCCAGTGTATGAGTTTACACCTGCCCTCTTCTTTAGTACCTTGGGTCCTGAGGTCCCCAGGCCTGGGACCCCTGAGGTGGTAGAAAACGGAGAACCATGAGGCAGTCCAGGATGAGGTGTGTATGGAAGCCTGTCTGAGGCCATCCCACCAGCTCTGAAAAAGGGCTCTGTCTCCTTTTCCTTCCCCTTTTCCTTTCAGTCTCCTTTCCCAGCACTGGGAGGATGGATGCCTTTGCCTTGACTTTCCCCAGGCCGGCAGCCAGAACAAGGTACCAAACTGGGAGTGAGCTCTCCGAAGGCTGCTGAAGGCTGATGCAAGGCAGTCTCTTGGCCTCCCACTGCAGCTGTGACTGAGGGCTGGGTCTCTCTCACCCCATGCCTGCGGCACTCAGCTGCCTCCTGCTCTTCTGCCTGCAATAGGCTTGGGCACGGAGGCCCACGGAGGCACTGCAGAGCCCGGGAGTGGCAGAAAGAAGCCTTGTAAAGAGCAGGCACAGGGCTCTGGGGGTTGAGTTCTCCCTCCAAACAGGCCTGGGCCCCTGCTTGGCATAGTGGGGCTTGATCTGTGACTTTGAGTGGAACCCCAGGTTTCCAGAAGTTCGATAGATTCCCGGGGAGTCAGCTGGCCCTTCAGAAGCAACCTAGAGGCCCATAAGTCATTGCAAGCCTAGTTCCCACAAGCCCAGGAGCTGCCTGTGACCACAGAGGCAAGACCCTGAAGGAAAAGTCAGGCTAGCGGTCAGAAACAGAAAATGCTGATGCTCTCAGGAGGGGAGGAAGGCTGATGTGGGTGTTGGCTTCACTGCTGAGAACCGGGCTGACTGGGGCAGGTCAAATGGAGAGTTTCCCAGGGCTCCTTGCAAAGAGCCTGAGAAACCCCTTGGTGATCAAGGGTGCATGCTTGGAGGGCGGGACCTAAGCCAGCCTTCCCAGGGCTCTCCTGAGGGGCGGCCCGTGGTGGACCACACTAATGAGCCCATAACAGGCCTTTGATTAAGCAGCTCCTAGCACAGCAACTTGATTGAAACATGCCGAGGCCAGCAACTCGTTCCCACCGCTCCCTGGTTCCCCAGGCAACAGCCCATGGGAGGGGACCCAAGTGCTGGGAGTGTCTAAGGCCCCAACTCATTGAGGGGCTGTCTGCGGCGGGGTGGAGAGAGGGAGAGGTGGTGGGGCAGTAGTGCCCAGAGTGGGAACACCAGCAGCCAGGGGGTAGGAACATGAGAAATGGGTGGGGTGTAGGCAGCTTCCTTCCAGAATACTGAGGGGGCTGCCAGACATCTGCTGAGTTTCCTGGGGTCCCAGGTTCCTGAGCATCTGAAAACCAGAGGTGCAGACCATCGCAGCCCTCAGGCCAGAATACATTCTTAGAAGGATGGCAGAACAAAAGCACACAGAGACTTCTTTAATCTAGGAAGACCCTAGTCCCTAACCCTCCTCAAAATGTGCTTAAACTGCCGATGTACACACAGATGAAGCACGACTGGCACTTTGCTAAGACTTGCTAGTATGGCGTTTCACTCTGGAATAATGATCTGTGCACTCTCTGTGGCTGGGGTGTCCTGGGAGATGGGGTCCCCATCTCCTACCTCCACACTCATTCTGACAATGTCCACCAGTTATTGACAGAGCAGGATGGCAGCCTAGGATCTGGCTGGGTTGGGAGTGGGGTGTGGGTGGCCTTTTCCACGTGTGCTGGGCTCATTTCAAATGTTACACATCAGAGCTTTGCTACAGTAACTACCAACACCACACAGATGAAATCTAACCTTACCAAGTGGGACTTTTAAAATGTATTTATAACTTTATGGTTCAAAGTAATTTTGTTATGAAACAATGTAATAACAACAGTAGAAAAGGCAAGATAATTTATGGAACACAATATCCCTAAAGCACTAGCTTCCACGGGTACCTCTGGGCTGAGTCTGAGAAGAGTGGCTGCTGTCCTTTGTTTGTTGTTTGTTTTAATTAAGGGTTAGGACTTGGGGGGGGGGCAGGGAGGAGGTTGCTCTGAGGGAGGAAGGCTCAGCTGCAAGCAGACATGCGCAGACAAAATCATACCCATATTATGAATAGTGCAGACCCCAGACTGGGCTACACACAAAGCCAGTGTGATTCTTGTGATTCTTTGCCTTTTATTATAAACCCTCCTGCTTTCTCTTACACGCCACAGGCAGAGCTCCGCTACCTTGTGGATGAAGTCAGCTTCTCTTTCCCAGTCCTGATAGTGTTTCTCTCTCTCTCTCTCTCTCTCTCTCTCTCTCTCGCTCTCGCTCTCGCTCTCGCTCTCGCTCTCTCTCTCTCTCTCTCTCTCTCTCTCTCTCTCTCTCTCTCAGACAGGCACTCACTTTGTAGTCCTAGCTGGTAGACTTTTTATGTAGAACAAGCTGGCCTCAAATTCATAGATCCCCCTGTCTCTGCCTACCAAGTGCTGGGATTAAAGTTGTGGATTAACATATCTAGCCCCGATTCCCTTTCCTGATATTTTTGTGAAAGATAAATTACTTTTCTCCTACTCTAGATCATAACCAAAAGCCAAAAGCCAAAAGCCAAAGAGAAGGAGGAGGAGGAGGAGGAGGAGGAGGAGGAGGAGAAGGAGAAGGAGAGTAGTAGTAGTAGTATGGCTGACCCCTGAGAGACCTGGGCAGTGCAGCCACTGGAAAGACGCTAAGAGCCCTTAGCCCCAATGGCTGTGCTTGACATCAGCTGAGATTCTTACTCCAAGCAGGAGAATGGAAGACCAGAATGCTCTGGCAAGCCGTCAGGTTCTGTTCAATGGTTTCCATCAGTAGCAAAGGGAGCAACTGGCTGTCAGTGGGGAGCTCTGCCCACTCTACTCACAGAGTTCACTTCCTATGCACTCTGGTGAGACTTCCATACAGTCACTGGAGAGGGGCACCCACGCCGCACCCTCCATTTCTGATCTTATTTCCCAGAGTATGGGGAGTTCTCTACTTCTCATGCCTGGGTTCCCACTGTCACTGGCCAGGAAATGCCCTGCAGCTGTGAGGACAGCAGCACCCACACTCACAACCTCTAGCTCAGCATGGGCGCCATAGGAGCTGTCCTGGGAGGGAAGGCAGGCAGCAAGGGCGGAGCAGGAGGAAAGGAAGAAGGAAGAAGGGCTGCTTCTCACTTGTAACCAGGGTCCGTGGGCGGCATAAGGACGCTCCTCAGTGGCAAAGGCGCCTTCCACTCCCGTGGACACAAACGTGATGGCCATGTCACCTGTGATACTCTTGTAGGTGAAGTGCCGGCCATGCAGGAGTCTGCCCCTGGGGATGGGAACATGGAGACAGTGGGGATCTGGGCCTAGAACACAGTGTCTAGCCAAGGTGCTGGGACTACAGAGCAATGTTCCCTTAGAATGAGTGCCTGGTTGGTGCCCTCCTGATAGCTACCTGCTCACTAACGGGGGTTAACCAAACATGTTTACTGTAGCACAGCAATGAAAGGTTCCACCGCCATGTTCACTAAGGGCATCCTTCCTTTACTCCTAGCCAGTTGACATGCTAGATCAGAGCTCAGAGAACCTCAGGAAGGTGACGACAATGCGGCCAGAGAGGGAAGTTAAGCGTGTGCTCAGTGTCATGCCCAGAATGAAGGACTCATGTCTCCCACAAGGATGCTTTGGTGCCCTGGACAATCTTCCTTTTGTCCTGGGCTCTCTTGTAACATTTAAACAGTTATCCTAGAGGCAATAAGCAAATCTTTAAAAACACAAAAACGAAAACAATATAATCTGAAGCCAAGCAGGGTCACCACAAGAAATCACCACTAGTCCCCAGTCTGGAAACTGGAGGACAGCAGGCAGTGGCAACCGATGGGCAGGGATACCAAGCATCGAAGGAGGAAAAACTGGTTCTGCATTCTCAGCCTGCTTCATACAAACCCTTCCCCAGGCTAAAAGCTCAGGCCTATGCCCACGAGGCTGCTAGGAGGAATCGGCTGGAGTCTGGTGCCGGCCCTGGGCGGCCCTGCGGTGTGGGCCCTGGGAGGCCCTGCTCACGCAGACCACTTGCTACCTTTGGCCTGCTGCTCAGGGCAGTTGGCTAAGGCTGGCTAAACTCTTGACTCCTCCTCCCACTTCTCCTGGCTCTTGGATCCATGGGCAGGGTCCAAACTATGCCATTAATTCTTCCTAGTCATTGTCCCTCAAGTTTAGACGTATTCTTGTGGCTTCCTCAGCTTGCAAAGTGAGGTTGGAAGGGGGCAGCTGCAAGAGATCCAGCCTAGTGCAGTGTTCTGAGCAGACTGAGCTCTGTCCACAGGGCAGCATACTGACTCTCAGCAGCAGAGAGAGACAGCTGGACTCCGATCCCTCTAGGAGTCTGTGGGGTTGGTCACTGGCTTTTGTAAAGAAGCAAGTGTCCTCATGGGAAAGCATCAAGCAGGAAGATGCAGAGCCCAACCTGTCAGAACCCTCTCTCTCCTGACCTGTGACCCAGCTTATGGGATGGCAGGGCCATCCTAGACTCTCTTGGGAGGTCCAGTGACCAAGTGGCACAGCTGAAGGACACTTCCTAGACAAATGAGAGTTCTCAACATCTAGTCCCCATGGCATCTGACTTTTAAACTTCTCAGAGAAGCAGATGATAAGAAAGCCAGGTGTAAGGTGCATACCTTCAATCTAAGCACTCAGAAGCACAGGCTCAAGGCCAGCCTGGGCTACATAGTGAGACCCTGCCTCAATAAACAAACAAAAAAACCTCAGATGACTGACCAATGGGGTGGGAGTGGGGGATGTCATGTGACTGGGCTGTCACAGCTCTAGGTTAAGAGATACAGAACAATCTCTCTCTAGGAACGAACTGTAGGGCCATCTTGTCTTGCTACTCTGCTTGAAGACTTCTCAACTACCTGCACTGCCCAGAGGCTTAGATGGGGAAGACACTGCAGGGGCCTGTGACAGAGTCCCCAGTTTCCCACACAGGCCAGGATAGAGCTGCCTGAGTGGCTGTCTTCCATCCCCAGCCCTCGACACTGCTTAGGGACCAAATGCTCACAGGTAACCTGTCTGGTTAAAATGGCTAGCCCAAAGCTTTAGCTGAGTTGTGTATGGAGGTTCTGAGGCCTGCATGTACTGCAGGGCTGATGTGGAGTGTTTTTGTTCCAGCTCACCTCAGGCAGAGAGGGATGAGGGCTCCTGACTCCTGGTTAAACTTTAGATGCACACTCTCGAGCTGCCGTGTGCGGATTAGCTCGTGGGGGATAACGGCCGTGGAGCTGTCGCTGCCCAAGCTGTCCTTGCGGCTCCTGTGAAGCAAGCACACGGCAAAACCATGGGGAGGAGCACATGGGATTTTCTGAACGAGTTTCTGGTCAGCAACTATGGTGCCTGTTAACTATAGTAACGGTCACTTTCACTAAGCACTAGCCAAGGGCCAGCATGGTGCCAAGCTCTTCTCAATGGCTGCCAACTCCCCCTGATGCCCCATGAGGTGGGCACACTGTGACAGAGGGGCTAAGCTGAGTGACCAGGCTGCACAGCCAATGAAGAGGTGAAGCTGGCATTTGGTCTGAAGTTACTCAGGTTCCAGAGCCCACATCTTTGGCCAACAACACAAAAGTTCACAGCACAGCTGCCTGTTTTGCCTGTGAAATCAACAGTCACTCTAAGGAGTCTTTTTCCCTTGCCTTGATGCCCTAGAGGTTCTTTTTTTTTTTTGGGGGGGGGGTTTTCGAGACAGGGTTTCTCTGTATAGCCCTGGCTGTCCTGGAACTCACTTTGTAGACTAGGCTGGCCTTGAACTCAGAAATCCGCCTGCCTCTGCCTCCCAAGAGCTGGGATTAAAGGCGTGCACCACCACTACCCAGCTGTCCTAGAGGTTCTTAGCTCTCCAAGGTGTCATCGGACAGCAGCTCAAGGTCAGGTTGGCTGACCCTGGCAGATTCTGAGTGAGGCCACTCCTGCACAGGGCCAGACAAGGCAGCAACATAAGCAAGAATAGGGAGCAGCACAACCTTTGCTAGAGGCGAAGGTTGGACCTTAGGAATCAGTCAGATGTGTGTGCCTGGGTAAACTTCAGCTGAGCTTTACTGGTGTGTGTGTGTGTGTGTGTGTGTGTGTGTGTGTGTGTGTGAATGTCCTGTATGAGGTGTGTTATATATGTATGTAGCATGTTTTGCGTGTGTATGTGGCGTGGTATGTGTGTTGTGTTTTATAAAAAAGAAGAGGAAGAACCAGGAATGTGTTTAGTAGAGGGGCGGTATGGTGAGGTGGAAGGGGGCACCTCTGCGGGCCCATGCTGAGGCATCCCTTCCCCCCCCCCCCCCCAGGGACCAGCTACATGATGGGTATAGTATAGAATAGAGTTTATTTAGGGCAAGGGGAGGGGAGTTGAGGGGGTAATAGAGAGAAAGGGAGAGAGAGAGAGAGAGAGAGAGAGAGAGAGAGAGAGAGAGAGGGAGGGAGGGAGGGAGGGAGGGAGGGAGGAGAGGCTGGTGGCCAGAAGCACATGGAGAGAGAGGGGGGAGGGTAATACAGGAGAAGAGACAGAGGGGGGGAAAGGTAAGAGAGTAAGAGAGCAAGAGAGTGAGGAGGGGCAAGCAGCCCTTTTATAGTGACTCAGGCATACCTGGCTGTTGCCAAGTAACTGTGGGGCAGAGCCTAGAAGAAACGCTAACAAAGTATGTATATGGTATGGTGTATGTGGTATGGTGTATGTGTGTGTGCGCATGTGTGTGCATGTGGTGTGGTGTGTGTGTGTAAACACTGAATTAGATCCTTCTGACAGTGACCTTGGCTACACTAAGCTGTCACTGCCCCTCAGGTCCCGCCAGCTGAGCCCCTACCAACAGCTAATCTCACAGCTGGGCTACTGGGGCTCTTGTCATTCTAAGTTTTATGTTTCAAATTTAGCTATCCTGACTGACTCCTCAAATCGACCCCAGAAAAAGAGGGCCATCCATGGATTCCATTCAAAAGGTGGTTCACCAGTCTGGGTTGTGAAATCCAGAACAATTCTTCAAGTATCCAGCAAACTACCAGACTTGGAGCATTCATTCTGTTTGCTTTTGAATCATTCAAGCAGCAGGTAGGAGCTCCTCAGGATGAGGAGGATGAGCTGGACAGCCACCAGGAGCAGGAAGAGGGGAGGGAGGGGGAGGTCATAGCCAATGATGCACCCGACAGGCAGATCCCCTCCCCAGGGCAAGTCTCAGGTCAGCATTGGAGGCAAGGCAGTGACTCAGCCTGCCCCTCACCCCAGATGCTAGGTAGGCAGCTCCACTCTGCTGGTCTGCCCCTCCCAGGACCCACCCCCAGGCGACTCTGTCACCAGGCAGCCCTTCCAGTGGCTCCCAAAGCTGCCTTGGGAACGGCCTTTCCTTGGCAAACACTTTCACAAGAATGGTGAAGGAGACAAACACTGCCAAGAGGGTCACACAGTATTTCAAGATCAGAAAGAAACTCAACCTGTTTAATTTACCTCTTCCCTTTTAAAAAGGAAAACATAGCCGGGCAGTGGTGGCGTATGTCTTTAATCCCAGCACTTGGGAGGCAGAGGCAGGACGATTTCTGGTCTACAGAGTGAGTTCCAGGACAGCCAGGGCTACACAGAGAAACCCTGTCTTGAAAAAACAAACAAACAAACAACTCCCCCAAAACAAACAACAACAACAACAACAAAAGCACATCCAAGGCCAAACAAAGAGCATGAGTGTGGCATGAATCGTGGACTTCTGACCACCTTCTCTGCCTGCCTGCCAAGGAGGGCAGCTCCACATTTCATCCAGGCACTATAGATAGGTTCAGAGGTGACATAGGGGTACCCTGGGGCTCAAATAAGAGCAGAACATAGGAAACAGCAACCGCTGTTTGTTTCCTCTGTGTCAGGCTTTCTGTTAAATGCACAGGTTCACTCACTGGGTCTTCACAGCAAGCAAGGAAACGGTCTTAGCCCTTTCATAAATAAAGTGAGCACAGATGACCTCCAGGTTACAGCAGGAGCTTTATTTTGGGGGATAATGGGGTTGAAACTCAGCGCTTTGTGTATGCTAGGCAAACGCTTTACCACTGAGCCCCACCCTGAACTCTACTGAGTGAGCAGAGCAGCAGAGCCAGGATGTGACTCTTATCTGATAACAGGTTCTCCTATTCTCTGCCGCCAGGCTGCTCGCTGGGGCTGAGGCCTGGCCTGCTGGGGGTGGGTGCTTCTAGAGGATTCCAGCCTCAGTGGGCCAGGCAAAAATGCAGATAAACAGCCTGGGGAGGCAGAGTGGGGGCTGGGAGCACACAGCACACAGGGCTAGAGAGCCTCAAGCTGGAGGGAAAAATAAATTGTTGAAAGTCAGCTAAAGTCACCTTGGTAACTGCCACAACACACTCACCCAGGACGAGGACATCAAACCCAACTGCAAACAGCTTTAAAAAAGCGGCAAAGAGCTTAATCATCTAAGGAATTAATGTGACAAGTGCCCACATTTACACCTCCCACCAACCTTCAATCATTTGAGAAAACATACTTTAATCTTTTAAGAAAAAAAAAAAATCTCAAAATGCTAGCTGTGCACTCCTGGAGCCTGGGTATTTCCGGCATGCAGCTTCAATGGGAAGGTGGCTGCTTCACACACGCTGGAGCCCAGCTTTTTGCTGATTTGTTTTTTCTGGACATCGATGCAGAAGCATGAATTATTTGTGTGGGCTGGGCGAGGTATTAAATCTGCAGCCGACAGAGGTTTGCAATGTTTTGCATGGTTGTCAGCTTAATCTTAGTCATAAAAAAATAAGTAGTGTGCTAGGCAGCATGGCCTAATTTTTCAGCTGGGCTTTCTCCATGAGTTCTCCACAGGGAAAGAAGGCAGAGCTATTGTGGGTGGGGGCTGAGAAGGAGAGGGGCTTCTGGGAAGTCCTGCCCCATAGCCACTGGGGAGGCCTAGGGGACATGGGGCCATAAGTATGCTCTAGGATAACATCACAGGCTCACAGCCTAGGCGACCTTGGCAAATGACCTTCCTCTTAACTTTTTTGAGACAAAGTTTTGCCATGTAGCCCAGGCTAGTCTGTTGGTATCCCTCAACCTAATACCAACATAGTAGTTTTTATTTTCTTTTTAAGATATTTATCTACTGGGCTGGAGAGATGGCTCAGTGGTTAAGAGCACTGACTGCACTTCCAGAGGTCCTGAGTTCAAATCCCAGCAACCACATGGTGGCTCACAACCATCTGTAATGAGATCTGATGCCCTCTTCCAGTGTGTCTGAAGACAGCTACAGTGTATTCATATATAATAAATAAATAAATAAATAAATAAATAAATAAATAAATTTATCTACTGTGTGTATATACGTGCACACAGATATGCCAGTGTACATAGAGGTCAGAGAACAATTTACAGGGGTTACTTCTCTCTGTTTGGTTTCAGACCTCAGACAAGGAACCAAGCTTTACATACTAAAGCAGACTTGGCCTTTAGGTTCTCCCAGCATCCCTCAGTCCCCACCTGGCATACTCTGCCCTCAACCCTGAACTTTTCAGCCCAGGGGCTGGGTTGCCTTTCCCTATGTAATCCAGACATTTTGGTCTCTCTCTCTCTTCTTCTCATCTCTCTGTGAGTGCACACTCTCTCTTTCTCTTTACCCTAGGCCCCTCTCTCCCCATGCGACTCCCCTGGCCTCAGTCCTTGGGGCCAGTGAACTTGCCGAACAGCAGTTTCCCAATAAACCTGCCTTTAGTATAATCTAATCTGGCTTGAACTGGCTCACTTCACCAGCGGCAGAGAAATAACCTATCACTCTCCTACCATGTGGACCCCAGGGATCAAACGCAGGCCACGAGGCTTTGTGGCAAATGCTAGTATCCACTGAGGCATCCCAGCACCCCACCCCTTGAACTCCCAGACTGGTCTTGAACACACATAGCTGGCTCTCCTCCTCACTCAGACTCTGGAATGCTGGGATTCCAGGTGTGTAGCATCATGTGTTTTATAGGGCTTAACTGTTTGCCTAAGCTTCAATATCCCCTAGATAGAAATACATAACCATAGGGTTAGCATCATACTTAAACAAGATGCATCTGATGAAGCATCAAACAATGCATGGGCTTCTTAGACCTGCCCGAAAGACTGGTGATGGCTCTGATGGCTAATAGAAACTTGTTTGCTCTTACCCTGGACCAGGATTTAGCTGCCTCTGGCCAGATCAGTTCTCTGCTGAGCAAAGGTCTTAAAAGGTAGACCAGGATTAAATACTTCAGGTCCTGATCAACCATTGGTGTGCTGGGAAGACCAGATTAAAGGCAAAGAAAACTCTTCAAG